TTCAAGACCAACACTTTTCTTTGTCGTTTAAACGCGTTTTTCTTTCTGTATTTATTCGAAAAGGCGTTTTTCGGAATTTCGCAACGCGTTACTTTTGCGTTAAAAACGTATTTTCAAACGTTCTAGAACGCGTTTCAGATGAAACATTTAACACGTTTTTTGATCGTTAAAAACCCGTGAGAAGAGAAAGTTTTGGTAAAGCCAAATATGAGACTTGGCTACCCAGTGGAACTTGATCTAAAAATAGTTGAAAGTCTATAATAAAGGAAGTACAAAACTGATGATCTAAAACCGAAAAAGAACGAAAAGAAGATGATATTTCGAGTGTGCTTATATACTTGGCTGAGCGCAAAACAAGACGTTGAATGTCCAGGGGTAAAAGAGCTACAAAAAAACGCCTTTTTTCTTCGTTTTTAACGATCATGTTAAATGCGTTAAATGTTTCAAAACAACACTAATAAAAACACTTTTTACAACTAACGAAAACGCGTTTTTCGGAATTAGCAAACGATGGTTAAAAGAGCCGTTTAAACACGTTTTTGTTGTTCAAAAGTTTAGAATAACGCGTTTGCTAACGATCGTTAAATTAATCGTTTTCTGGTGTTTTTATTTAACGCGTTTCTAACGACGTTAAAATGATATGACTTCGAACTTTTCTCTTTTTATGTTTAGAAACGACACATCAAAACACGTTTTATATAAAGTAAACGCGTTTCCACGGTCATTTTAACGTCGTTAGAAAACTCATTCAACAAAAACGCCAGAAAATGGTTAATTTAACGATCGTTAGCAAACGCGTTATTCTAAACATTTGAACAACAAAAGCGCGTTTAAGCGGCTCTTTTAACCATCGTTTGCCGTCTATCCAAGAATCATATTGCACTGATAAGCGTTATGAATTAAAGCAAAATGCTTCAATATAGTCTCCAGCAAATTCGGCATCCTCATTCATTTTCATCGTGCACAGAAAACTGTCGAACTAAGGAAAGCACATAAGAAAGTTGATTCTTAGAGGTAGCCTCTTTGTGAAGTACACGGTTTCCGGTCCACATTTCGAGCTTCATGTTTATTCCGCTGTGTTTCAATGAAACCCTTATCTGATGTGAAAGGTAGCATAATTTGATAGAGCAGAAAATTCTGCACCTTGCTGTATCAACTTCATGGTTTTAAATTTGTAACTTGAAGGAAAAATACTAGTGACAGTGTAGTTTTTACTTAGTTAACGTATTTATTTTTAGGCCTCGTTTCTTGAGACGGAAAAGAACAACTTTTACAAAATTAGTAAAGCGTTGTAAGCCTTCGAATTGAGCGTCCTTTTTTCGGATTTTGAACTGAACAATCAGGAACGCTTTACAACAAATGTAGGGCTGAAGCAGCCTTAAAGACTTCTAATACTTCAAATATTACACAGTGGAATCTTAATTAATTTTGGTACCCAATAAACAGTTTGATAGAGAATTAAATTTTCTCCTCGTTTGTCTATTTTTTTCGTTTGTCTTTTCCCTCTTTCGGAGACTGAATCTAATTCAATGTTTGCTTACTTTTAGATTCGTACTCTTCGTACAGGATGTTATATGTAACATTTTTGTTTGTAGCGAAAAAAGAGCTAAACATACGAATATGTATTCTAAATAGAGCTCTTTTCAAAATAATAAATCTAATAACTTGTCAAAGTATGTCATTCAGTTTTAGGCAAATTTACAGGAAAATAACACAAATTGATAAATGTATGGCAAGCGGGCCGATTTTCTAATTAATAATATGAAATTATCATATTCAGTGCAAAAAAAAGGGTTTATTGGAGGAACAAACAAAAGTCCGCAATTCTTGTATGCACAAACAAAATTGTAGGACTTAGAAAGAGAAACTAGAGACGTGAAGGGCATCTATTTCTAACTGGAAATCACATAAAAAAGCAAAGAATTGCGTCCCAGTAAGGAACATATTAGAAGCTACCCTTAAATTCTCGATAGAAACGAAGTGCATATCTGAAGAAATATCAGTTTCTGAACAGGGCTGGCACTTTACTAATTACTTTACCAGGTAAGGTAACGAATTCAGTTACTACTTTCTAATTGATACTTAACTGCTAAAACGAGTGAAAACTGGTGATAATGTACAAACAAACTGTTTTGGCTTGAATCTAGTTCCAGTTTTGGATTAGCAGCGAATGAATTCAATAATTCACAATGTGAAAAGATTACATGGCTCACTCGTGAACCTTTTAAATTCAGCATTTCTGTTTTTTATAATACTCAGTAAATCCTGCTTTTTTGGCCCCCAGACGGATTATTTTGTATTCGGATGTAAGAGTACCTCATCAGTGTGTGGTTCAATATATTGAAATGTAGCTGTTAGATGATCTTCGATAACCTTGGTTGAAACTAGTTATATTAGATTTTCCATGGTTAATAATCTACTGAAATACAATTTCTTCGCTGATTTTTGATTCTATCGATTTTCACAGCTAAAATTAGTTTAACATTATGTTATTAACGTGATGCATTATCGTATTAACATTAACTTTTTCCATAGATGTCCAAGTACACAATTTATTCCGAGAGTCGTTTTACACTTAGAACTATGTTGCAAGAGTCAAGCGACCTGTACTGAGTTACATAATTTTGTGGCTTTCTGATCTTCTGATTTTCTGATCGTTACTGAATCTAATGTAACGATCATCAAGTAGAAGATATTGGCAGTTTTAAAACTTTTAACGCCTTTGTTCAAGTTTAAGATACGAAAGCATATAAAGAATTGTTTGCCGTCATCCTCATTTAATGCATGGGAGTGCGTGAGAAATCAATGAAGGTTAATTCATTCCGATTTTTTGCAGGTACTTGAATTCATTGTTCCTCCTATTTTATTCTTATTTTTCAATAGATGTGAACGCCTTAGTTCTCATACCGCGAACTTCTTCGCACGTATTAGGGAACTCGTAGGCCTGCAACACTTTTCAAGCCCCATTCCAGATCAATAGTGGTCTGTTAAAACTATGTAAAATATGTGAAAAGCTTTAAGAAAAGTTAAAAAGAAACAGTTAATCTGGCCCGAGTGTTAGCCTATTTCTAGATTGTTGTTGCCTACTATTAGTTATGTTAAAATGTTTTTAGCAGACCACGAGTTTGCAGCATCCATATGAGAAAAAAATTCATTTTCATTTCTGATCACTGTCTCATGTATGATTGGATCATAGGAGTTCCAGTGTAAAAGCACATACATACATATCTCAACGCGGAGAACTTTGAAAAAATCAGAATACGTTCTCAAAATCTACAAATCTTTATTTTCTTTAGTACGTTTTGTAGCCGATAATCAGGACTTTAATTTTCTCTTACAATACGAAATATTTCATATTTTCTTCATATCTAAAACTCTTTATCTCTAAAGTCAAAAAATCGGGTGCAAAATTTTTGTAGTAAACAGTTTTGTCTCCGAGTGAATTATGGCGCATTCTAACGGAAAACTTATTTTTAATGCATTCTCCTCTATAGTCTATAGATCTGAAATTTCGGTTCTCTTACTATTCGAGGACTCTAAGAAGAACGTTGCAAATAAATTTCTTTCTAGGAATAAATTTTTTCGAGGAATTTCGCTAGGAAATCCTGGGCACGACATGTTGAATGTTTAGAAACATTAGCTTTTTGAACTTGACAAGCGTTTTGGTTTCACAAAATTTCACTTTTTCAGCTTAATAGGATTTTCAGGACACCTGATAAATCAAAGCACACTGAAATCAATCAACCGAAAAAGCGAAACTTTTGCAAATCGAAGAATTTCTTAAGTTACATAAGCGGCGATACCAAGGATCTTGTCCAGTTCCGCTGGCTATGGAAACTTTTTGTTTCTTGGCGTGCAAAAACTTGCTTTTGTCTTCTTGTTTTTAAAAAGAAGTGTGCCCTGTCTGTGAACCGAAATTCAAAACGAAGAACCGTTGCTGAAAACCACAGGTGCGAAGCCGCTCAAAAGGATGCATGAAAACGGAAAAAGACGTTTAACGGCTTTAAATGCATTAGTTGTCCTTCATAGTGGAAGTTTGCGAAAGAAACATGTGCAAACTTTTGAGTATCTAACTTATTCTAAGGCATTCTAATGCGTTAGAAGCGAAAAACGTACTTTTAACACATTGGAATGCGCTAAAGAGGAGAAAATGGTTTTTAATACAATCTAATGAGTTCCAAACCCTCTGCACATATTCCGCTTTTGCCGTCTCGCAGTTCTAAGTCACGAACCGCTTCGAAAACTGGTATGTTTAATAATCGAAACTGATCATAAGTGTCAGAAAAATTTATACGTAAAGTTTCTGATCTTTTCGAGTCCCGAAATAAGAAGTTCCGTTTAAATTATTATGCCCTTGAATCTTAGTTTTGTTTCAAATATATTAGTGCTACTGTTTAACAAAATCTTATTTTATTTCGCATCACAAAATAATACGCTTTTCACGCCTGGATAATATAGAGGCCATGACGTTTATAGTCAAAATAATATATATTTCTTTTTATACATTCTCGAAACATGAAAATCATCTTCACCATGTAAAAAGCCAATAAACTGGTGTCTTTAAATTATAGTATTCCAGCGGAATACCGAAATGAAAGAGTATTTATATGATGCTAGTTTGTAGAGTAAACATTTCTGGTCAAAATGCCATTCTCCCAGTTTCGAGTAATACGTTAATAAAAAACTAGTACAGTTTTGCCAGCACCCTCACCCTCACCAGTCCTAAAGTCCACAATACTTTCATCTAAAACAATTATTAACAGATAAGCTTTCAGTCATATTTTCCGGACTGCTGGTTGATGATTTTCTGGAATACCTTGGAAAACTACCCTAGGTCTGGGTCTAAAACTCGCAGAAAAGCTAACACAAAGTTAATTGGCTTCAAAAGGAATAAGATCAGATGGGTGCTGATCTTTAGCGTCTATACATGCCACTATCTCCAGTTCATATTGGTTCATCGTGTATTAAAAGTTTAATCTTGAGATAAAGATTGTTTCCACTTAAAAATACGAGAAATCGGGCGACTGTAATTGGGAGTTTTTTGATTGTTTAGAAGTTTTTGTTGAATGTCTTCTCACAGAACCATTTATTTTGGCTAACGACTTTTTTCGACGTGCTAATGTAAATAGATAAGTTTTTATAATACGTCGTTTCTTCCATGGAAATAATAATAATGCTAGAGCAGCAATCACTGCATAGGTCAAAAATAATCCACTCATTGTGTCAATTGTCATTTCAGTAGATGTTTCAGATGAATCAGGACATGTCTGGGATTGAAACCAAGTTGATGTCAAATTGTCTATCACACCTGATTCTCTTAACAATAATATATTAACATCTAAATCTTGTGCATATATCCATTGTTTAGGTGTAACAACGCCAAATGCACCTGCATCAAAACCGTCACCAACCAAAGTTAAATTGCAATATATATTATTAGTTATATATTCTGCAACACCAGTATCCAGAAAAGATACATCGATTATACCAGCTAATAAATCATCATATACTTGTTGTCGAGAGTATAATGTATAATAATTTGGGTTGTTTCCAGATATTTCTGCTAAATAATAAGCTTGGGAAGCTGTACCTACACGAATACCAATACGATTAAATGGTATCTTTCCATCTTTAATATCATCAATTCCAGAAATAACACTCTGTGATTTTGTTATTGTTAGATCAGATGCTAAGTTTGCAATATACGATGCCACTAATACTATACTTAAGATATATAAACCAACAGTTAATACACGTCCAGCAGCTGTCCTAGCTTTAAAACCCCCCGTACCATATCCCACAACATTGCCAATAGAATACCAAATACTCATTGCACATACAGAAATTATTGATTTATTTTGTAATGCTTCGTTTTCTTCCCTCTCTAATAGACACATTAAGATACCAGCATATACAACAGCACCTAGGATCAATAACCAGAGATTACGTGAGAATGGTGTCAAGAACGCTAAGAGATCGACATTAACATCGGGAGCTTTTCGCATAATAAGCCGTAAAGAATTATCAAATATTGAACTTGAAAACCCAACGATTTCTCTTCTTTCAGCAGTAATTGTCACATCACCTATCACTACATCATAAACACCGTTTGCTACTGATGCGACTAATGCATCGTAGGTTTCATTTGATGGTGCTAATTTAATATCTGGAATAAATCCCATTTTACTTTGTAGTTGAGTGATAAGATTAGGTATATAACCATCTAGGTGTACTGTAGTCTGTCCAAATTTATCTGTTACATTGGTAACTATTGTGAATGGATCTGATTGAATTACACCAATTCGTAAAGTTACACCAGCAAGTGTTGCTTGACCAGTAGGAGTTACTGATGAACTATTTGGCCAGATAATCGGATTTGCTTCTGCATACTCTTGCCAACCATCATAATTAGAATAGCCCAATACTGGCACGAAATTCACTCCATTTGAAGAAGATTGAGAGTTCTGTGCAAAATAATAACTACCATTTATTCGATCTGTTACATTATCATTAAATTGTATAGGACCGGATACACCAAGAAATGTCATATTACTAACCGTATCAAAATATGAATCGGAATTGAGAAAACGACGATCAAAGCAGGCTGAAGAGCCGACAAATGATATACAGGGAGAAGAACTATTAGTAATTGTTGAACAAAGTTGTTGTATTGATTGGATCAATAACCAAGCTGCATCAAATGCAAATAGTGCATAATAGCTTACGTTTGTTGGTCCAGGAAATGTTTCACGCTCATACTGTTGCCAGATATCATATGCGGCATCTAACAATGTTGTATTGATTGATACATCAGCAAAAGCTGCTGTTATAGGTTCAACAGTAAGCATTCCAATTAACTTTTTATTATATGTTTCATTAAAAGAGTTTAATGAAACACTTGAACTTAATATCCATGTGAACTTTGGACCAAGTACGTCAGAATCAAGTGCATCTTGTAAAATTAAAGATGTATGAGTTGCCTCAGCCCATAACAGTACAATTCGTGCTGAACTATTGGTTAAAGCGTTTCTCAAATTATCTATAATGCTAAGTGTTGCAATATCAAATAGCACCATATTTGTGACTGTCAAACCATTGTTAATAAATGCCTCATTAATTACTTTTGCACCACCAGATCCAAATGCATCATTTTGATAAATAATTATGCATGAAGTCCAATTAAATCGAATAAATAGTTGTACAATTGCCAATGCAGCTGCATTATCTGAAGGAACTGTGCGATAAAAAGAAGGATAGGCATTTCGATCAGAAAAATCAGGATCAGTTGCACCATATGAAACAGCAGGAATACCAACTCTGTCGGTAAAATCAGCAATAATGGGAGTTTCTCTTGATAATGCTGGACCCACAATACCAACGATGTTAGAAGTAGATATCGCCTGACACGTACTACTAAGAGCATCTATTGCATTGCCACCGGTTTGTGCTGCTTGCCATTCTATAAATTGTCCTTCAATTGTTATATTATATTGTTGAGAAAGCAAGACTGCTGCTTTAAACATAGCGCGAGAATGAACAGACAATTCGGTAGGTTCAGATGCATTTACTACATCTGGAAAAAGGCCTAATAGTTGTATGGTGGATGAGTTTGATGAGGGCCAAGTTGCTCTTATGTAATGTACATTAAGCTGCTCGAATATAAAGAGTAAAAAGGACCAGCGAAGATTGCACAAGGGCATCTCCGTTATTTGGTCTAATGCAGATATATTGGTTGAATTGAATGTGTGAAAAAACAAAGTATACTAAAATTTAGACACGATAACAAACTATAAAAATATTTATTAAAGTAAATAATTCATGGATAGCTGACTCATTATTATCACTGAAAGTGAATTAAAACATAGATTTCATATCAGAAAGATAATGCGATATTTTATAAGACAGATCGAAATTCAGCATGATACTATCGCTCTACATTTTGTTCAGATCTCTCTGACTATCAAAAATAAAAATCATTTCCAATATACCGAACTTAAGAATTTTTCACACACATAAGTCTCATTGCCAAGAACAACATTATCTAGAGTGTTCTAGTGGAATATATGAGCTGGAATTTTATAGAGATAAAAAAAGCGGCCTTCCTAACGGGTCAACGTAGAGTAATGATTTCAACTGAAAATCGAATGATAAAATGTCATAACTCAGTCAAAACTGATCCAGGCTTCCTCAGAATCAAGATACGCTCGATTTTATCTATTGAATGAGGTTCTGTAGGTGAGATTAGTATAAAATACTGTCTTTCGGAAGATTTCTAGAAAACCTTTGGGAAAATCCTAGTATTTTGTGTTGGTTTATAACAGTTCTATCGAACTCCACGATATGTTGCAGATAAAATCGAGTGTATCTTGATATTCTGAGAAAGCCTGGATTGGTTTTGACTGAGTTATGAATTTCCTAATTTTACGCGAAAATAGACAGATGGGTTATTCTGCTTAATATAGCTTTTCACTAAGTTTTTGAACTTTTTTCAGGAAAAAATGCTGCCGCGAGATTCAGTGTGGTTGATAAGCTGTGTTTTCATACGTTTTCAAATTTCTAAATATCAAGAAAAGCCGGTTCTGCGGTGTCTCAGGAAAAGTTCGCTCGTGCCCAAACGATGGCAGATAGAGCCGTCAGGTTTTGGCAGATATGTAGATCAAGTGTCACTGGATTTTGGGTGTATTTTCAAACAATAGACTTGTATGAAAAGTTAGGCAGCGGTGCGGGTGAGGGGTGAAAAATCTTGCCTTTGAAACATCGATCAGATACACCATGGTAGATCTCACTGGTAGAATTGATTTATACATAAGAAGATGGTGTCAAGCCCTGGCTACAAGACACTGGAAGTCGCAGGTCTTCGTCCTGTTCAGTTAAAAAGTTATAAAAAAACTGACCGAGCCACTGTTCATTTGGACAGATAATAGATCTTGTAACGTTTCAGGATATCTTACAAGTGTCAGTGCAAAAGGATCCTTTCTTCTTGAGGAAGACAGTTGAAGAAACATTTACATTTTAAAGCGTGCTCAGAAAAAAAAAAAAACATTACAAACTATTAAATATAATTAAACACTTTTTTACCGTAATCTCGACTAGACTCAAATGTAAAACACGATGGAGTTACTTAAATGGTGAATGAATCTGTTATGTATGTAGGATATGAGAAAGATGGAACTAACTTTCTCGTTATTTACTTCAATATTCATTAACAATCATGTTTTTCACAAAATGACAATCACCTAAAAATTCTAGTTTGGAATTAGCGTTCTTTAATATAATATCCCTATCTTTTAATCACAACATTTCTGTTAGTATTTCTGATACATTACTTCGCATAAGTCTTGATAAGTCCACCTTAAAAAGTTGCCACCTCTGTTCGGTAGAACATAACGATAGTAAATCTACACTAAAAGTACCGATAAGATAGGACGAAGGATTTAAATCATTTACTGATGTAAGCAAAGAAATAACCGACATTAGCTCTTCTAATAGAAATGAGAACAGAAAAATTGCATGCTTCACTGGGTCTAGTCGCCGTTCGACAGTTCTACTTCTCGACAGACAGCTTTCGACACTGTCGGAATTTTCGCCCAGATTCGACAGTGTCGAAAGCTCTCACTCGAAATTCGACAGTGTCGAAAGCCTGTCGAATTTCGTGCGAAAATTTTCAAACAGACCAAAAATTCGACAGATTTTTCGCTTCACTTCGCTACTAGAGAGGCAAAAGCGTAAACTCGTAGAGGCGTAGACAATTCCTACGTCTTTACGTCACTATTCCACTATGTCTCTAGGAATAAAACCGTCAATAGTCTTCGGGGCTTAGTGGCTGGACATTGAATGCGGTCTGGTGACTCACTCTCATGTCCTCCTGCGCTTTTACGTCATTACCCTTTTATGTCTTATTGAAATTTTTCAATGGAAATTCGACAGGCTTTCGACAATGTCGAATTTCGAGCGAAAAATCTGTCGGATTTTTAGTCTGTCAAAACTTTTTCCCTCAAAATTCGACAGTATCGAAAGTTTTCACTCGAAATTCAACAGCGTCGAAACACGCTGTCGAAAAGTGTTTCTGTCGAACTCCGAAATTATCCTTCACTGTCGTCGTGGGAGCGATAATTTGCCTTTTGATATGAATCTGCTCATGACGTTACCTGTCGATAAACGAACGGCGAACTTGCATACGCATCTAAGTTGTTCACATTAAGGCCGCCACTTTTTTTCAAAACAATTTTTTCTAAATAAAAGTTGCCTTTTGAAGAAAAAAAAAGCAACTTTTTTTGTTTTCGAAAAGAACAAAATTTTCTAAATCACAGGTGTCCTTGTTGAAACAGAGGAAATCAATGTTTCTGTACTTCACATAGAAGAAAAAGCGCTAGAAAAAAAAGTTTCTTTTGAAGAAAAGCAAAATTTTGCAAAAAACAGGATTGCTTTTGACTTATAATGACACTCTGTACCTAAAAATAATGTCCATTTTTCTCGACCCAGGAACGTTTTACAATGAAAGATAAGGCGATATTTGGAATCAGAATGCAAAACTGCCTCAAATGATGTAGCCCAAACATTGACATAATGTTTTTTGGGTTAAAGGATTTATCTGGATCCTCCTGAGGCATTTTTTACCAAAAACTGAAAGTTTACACAGTTTTTTCTTACGAGAATACTACTTTCAGAATTCAACTTGGGGAACAAAACCTGTCTTATTTCCTAAATTATTATCAATTTTTCCTTTTGAAAAACTGAATAAGTTTAACAATGTTTCTCGATAGCCATGAAGGAGTTTGAATAAAAATCTGTTTACCCATAAAGAAAGCTGGCATATAACGCTGACTAATAGCTCGTTTAAACTACTTTTACTTTCTTTACTTTCCGCGAAAACAAAACTGAGAAAATGTTTTTATCATTGTACTATGAAATTTTTCACCGACTGCAGGGCAGAAGGAAAATTATTCTCTTAAAGTAAATGATGAAATCTGTTTGAGAAAACACCTAAACTGTCTATGAACCAGATGCACGCTGGGGTGTGCGAAGTTTGAACTTTGTTTAAATTTGTCAGGTCTCTTCGTAACCGAATATGTCAACTTGTAATGATTGATATATCATTTTGTTT